GTTTAATTACGAAAGAATATCTTTACAATTAAAAATGCTTGGTTCAGAAGTGGAAGTTCTTGAGAGGCTGAATTATCTGAAATTGATGTTTGACATTTAAAAATCTGACATGATTTTTAAGCCTTGTAAGAGATTTTCTGTGAAATTTCAATTTGGCATGATTAACGTATGTTGAATTTTGTCCTTAGTTGCCTTTAGATATACCTATATACTTATGTTCCTTACATGTTATAATTCAAGAATTTTGTCAAAAAAACTAATCCTTGAGAGAGAAATGGGTGACAGTAGAGAGGAGAAATCTTAGAGAGGTTCATCAAAGGTTAAAGATTAGAAGAATTGAAGGGGTTTTTTGAAAGGTTGAAGCTCAAAAGTAAGTTTTGACCACTTCCATAGCTCTCTCTAGGAATGAGAGTAAGATTTCTTCACAATTGTGTAACTTGGGCATGCGAATTGAATTTAGTGTTATGAACATTGTTAAACTGGTTTCTTATTCTTGTGAAGTGATCGTAGAATTAAGTTGATATGTTTAAATAAAAAGAACTATCTTTATTGGTATAGATTTCCTCATGTAAAAACTTATATATAGTTTGTCTATATGATTTCTAATTAAAGTTAAGGTGAATCATGTTCTTAGGTGGTGGATTAAACATCTAATTCATCTCAAAAGTGTTACATTGTTGTGACCTTCTAATTGTATTGATCTTAAGTTATATTTTGGTAATTAAAGATCTATTTAGGCTTATTGATATCACAAAGATGGGTTTTATATGAAATTCGGACTGCTCACCTAGGGAAATCGCCGCACATGTGGGTTATGGCCGCACGTGCCGGGAATAAACGCCCGCACGTGCGGGGAGGATTTTGCCGCACGTGCGGGAAAGTTTGCCGCACGTGCGGGGCTCACAGCCGCACGTGCGGGCCCATGCTTGGGAAATAGTATGCTCCGTTTACGTGCTGGACCCTCAGATATTTTTTGAATTGTATTTATGCCTACTAATATGGTGTAAAATTCATTTGAAGGAAATTGAATTAAGAAAGTTGATTTAACAAAGAGAGGATGAACTAATTTACAAGTGTGTGAATGTTGTGAGGACACACTCCGGGGAGAACTAGCACGTCTCATCATAATGCTGTGAGTTAATATATCAATCGCAATTTGATTACCGTTAATAATCTTATTTATTAACCGCTTTGCTCTTCACAAGTAGTTATGGTTAAGCCTTATGTTGATTGGAATCCGGTGGTGAACATTGAAGATTTTGGCGTATGACGGTACGGCTCTGAACCTTACTCTGTTATTCCGGATAAGATAATGATTATCATTAATGTTACCAACTTATAAATGACCTACTTTGTAAATAACCGTTTGATTCCGATATAAGAATTGCATTACAACCATTAAACACTATGAAGTTTGGGTTAATAGAAAGAATTGAGTGTCAATAACATTGTTACTGGCTTCATGTAATGGTACTTTATCTCCGGATTATCGTTACATAACGTCTGTTAATTGCAAGACAAGTATGTCGATTTACAATGAACCGTGAGGAAATCTAAACGCTTGTCCTTGGCCATACGTTGTTTACTATTGATCATTAAAGGATGTAACATTCTGTTATTCTGCTAATCTCCGCAATATTGAGTATGACAAGCAAATGGAATGTCATTGCCGCATTATGAAATTAAGGTATATGTATCATCCTGCGAAATTATTTATAACGCTCTGTTTAACGCAAATTACGCTATGTTAACTCATTAATGATTGGAAGATCTGTGTCTGCCTCTTATACCCTGGGACTAATATATATGTGCTTATATGTAATTGTTCTGATATACATAAACGATTATGTTACCTGCAATAAACCATGAGGTTATTCCGCTCTGTTTAGTTCGTCCCATTCATACTTGTGATAGTGATATGAATTTGTTCGGTCTTTAAAACCTAATAATTTTTCTGGTATAGAACAAAAGTGCTTACGAACTAAGTGCGCAATGTGAGCCACCTCTAAGATCCGTCGAGCCACCTCTTGAGTCCATACATTATGTGAATTGGGGCTAAAGCCGATGTAGAAGAGCTTATGAGGGCCTACGGCCGTTCTGTAACATCGTGAGGCCTATGGCCAATTATGACATCGGCGCCTATGGCCATTCTGTATGATCTGTAATATGAAACAAAGTGGCTACGCGGAACTAAGTGCTTACGATGTGAGCCACCTCTAGACGTCCGCTGTGAAGACACCTCTTGAGTTCAGTACAAGCATGTTAAGGCTTATGCTGTTCTGTTATAGGCCTTTCTTGCCGATTCTGACTAAGGGCTTTATGCCCAATACAAGGCTTATGCCATTACAAGGGCTTTACGTCATTCTGAATAAGGGCTTCATGCTATTTTTGTTAAGGATTCATGCCATTCATGTTAAGGCTGAAAAGCCTACTCTATTTAAGATTGGGGCCCAAGGCCGTTCTGTAAAAGATACTTTTGTATATAAATGATTTTGAAATGACTATGCTATACAATGTTTAATTGAAATCATTTTTGGGTTACGAAATGTCTTAATATGATAAGTATTTATATGATAATTGATAAATTGCTATGAACTTCGCGGACATGTTTATGTTATGATATGTTTCTGGATAATTTTCCCAAATGCCTAGATACGCACGAAACTCGAATGTTCAAGATATGGACAAGTTTTCTGAAAAAGATACTCTAGCTACTGATACAAGAAACAAATTGAACATATGTTCTCTTTATTGATAAATGCTCGGATATGTATTATAATTCATGTTGAACATTGAATGATGTGCAATTATTCACTGAGCTTGGCTCACTTTATTTTAGTCTGTTTTTGTTAGGCAACTCCAACCTGGATGGTCATACCTTAAACATGTTGGTCCGTTACCCAGTTGTCAATCCCTGAGTATCTAAACTCTTAGATGTGTTGACCGCTTCAATTATGGAGTTTTTGCCTAAGTTTTTAAGTTGTACCCTAAAAGTCTGTTACGATTAGATTGTGTATTGTAATCCGTTTAGTTTTCATGTTTCGTTGTACGCCCGACCTTGAGCGGCTGGGTCTGTAGTCGTGATCTCATGTACATGGCCTATCTTCAAATGCACGTCACTTCAATCTGTAATTTATCGTGCATTTATGTTCTGTTTGTGTGCCGATCCATCTGGCATAGGTAGTTGGTTCACGCTTATACCTGGCTATGATTATTTTACGTTATTGAATTATGTTTATTGAACATGCTTCCGTTCAGCCCCATAGGTATATTTCATTCAGTGTTTTCGTGTCTGTTTCTGAGGTTGGTCTGACCAAACTGTTTATGGGGCGAGTGTTGGGGTGTTGCCACAGTAACCGTCGAAAATGGTTGATACTATTGCTGAAGTAAATGATACACCGTCGAAAGCAACCTCCACGATTCATGGGACATGGCTCTTCAAGGCAAATTTCGCCTCCACTAAACCATTTCTTCCGCAGTTGGGTTTCCTCCATGAATGTTTGAATTTAAATCTTCCAAGAACCGGTTTAGCCACGTCATCTTTGCTTTTTTTTATTGTTTCCGTACTTCACACGATCCATTGCTATTGATTGTTATATCTTCTGCCACGCTTCGTCCTCTGGGATGATTGGAAACATTTACTAATACTCTTCAAGTTACCCTTGACCGGACCATGTGTCAGGCTGTTGATTGGTTAGATAACACAAAATCGTATTAGCCCAACATTACGCCCCTCAGCACTATTTGATCCAAACAACACCTCGGCATATATTAGTGGATCGATGCACCTACTAGCCCATGTTCTAGGTGACGTGCCATTGGTAATCTAATTGTTTCCTGGAAGTATAACCATTCTTCAAGTCTGATGTTTTAAGGCAACCACTGAACTATCACCCCTTGTGCGCTGAACCTTACTTCCATTTTATATGCAACGACAAGAGACTTGATACATCCTTGATGGCAAATTCAAACCTTTTCTCATTAATCAAGTATATGTAAGAGTTTGGCAATTGATGGCCGACCTTGGAAGAATTTCATGCATTTATGTAGCCCATACTTATTCTCCCTATCCATTTATACAAGTTGTGGGAGCTCTTTTGCAGAATTACACCTTTTAGAACAACAACTACTCTAGTGGACCTCGAAGGCTCTTCATCTGCTCCAAAAGGCTCTCTGCTTGGGATGACATTGCCCTCCTATACCAAAACTTACGTGGTTGGAATGCCTTGGCCAAAACCAAACTCAACCTCAGGGACAAAGGGCTAGCTGAATTCACCATAGACTCTGTTGAATTAGTGCATACTATTTTGGATTCTTCCCTTCTTTCACAGTTTAAGTGTTAACCACTTTATATACTCTATTGAACCACCTCTGCATGTGCTCGAAGACAGACTTTAACTTTCTGGCATTGCGTATACCTCTCACTTGCAACCCAAAATAGTGCGGGAAAGACTCCCACCCAATCGAATGCTCTTAGGACTAAGTCCCGTCACCACTTCGTCAAGAAGGCTGAAAAACTCTGCATTTGCTGCAGACGTGAGCGTAGGAGTGTGCCAGAATATTTTCTCCCCGTACAATTGGCGCCGTCTGTGGGAAGTCGACAGACAAAACCTTGTCTTCCACAGTACCCACAACCTTCAATTACAATGATGTCAACACAGAGTTCTCCTACTCTTGAATACAAATTGAAGTTGCTTTTCATTACATTCATAAAGAAAACTTGAAAGTTCTGATTAAAGCAAATAAATCCGGGGCATAGTCAGGTGTTCCTGCGTCTCCTCCCCGAGCTTGTGGAAGCCTCTAATGCCAAAGTAGGCCCGATCTGCACCTCATCATCAAGCCAAGCAATGCACTCATCAGAGTGGGGGCAACTAAAAGTGGAAGCGGGGGCCAGAAGCTCTCTCGTCCTCCATGCCGTGGCATATCGAGCTAGCTGCGCGCCTCGGACTGAAAATGTAGCAGGGTACTCTATCCCCTCTTTCAGGCATGTAATAACCTGACCCTCGTACATGATTCTGGTATCTTTTCAGTCCTCTATTCTGTGCCTTTGAATGCTTATTGTGAAGTTCTATGTGAATTACGTTTAATTAAGTGAATCTTGGGAATATGAATTCCTATCTGTTTAATACGAAAGATATCTGTTACAATTAAAATGCTTGGTTCAGAAATTGGAAGTCTGAGAGGCTGAATTATCTGAAATTGATTTGACATTTAAAATCTGCATGATTTTTAAGCTGTAATGAGATTTTCTGTGAAATTTCAATTTGGGATGATTAAACGATTGAATTTTGTCCTTATTTGCCTTTAGATATACATATATACTTATGTTCCTTACATGTTTAATTCAAGAATTTTGTCAAAAACTATCTCTTGAGAAGAGAATGGTGTGAAGTAGAGAGAGAGAATCTAGAGAGGTTCATCAAAGGTTAAAGATTAGAAGAATTGAAGGGGGTTTTTGAAAGGTTGAAGCTCAAAAGTAAGTTTACCCATCTTCCATAGCTCCTCTCTAGAATTAGAGTAAGATTTCTTCACAATTGTGTAACCTTGGGCATGGAATTGAATTTAGTGTATGAACATTGTTTAACTTGGTTTCTATTTTGTGAAGTGATCTAGAATTAAGTTGATTATGTTTAAATAAAAGAACTATCTTTTATTGGTAGATTTCCTATGTAAAACTTATATAGTTTTGTCTATATGATGTTCTAAGTTAAAGTAAGTGAATCATGTTCTTAGGTGGTGGATTAAACATCTAATTCATCTCAAGTGTTACATGTTGTGCCTTCTAATTGTATGATCTTTAAGTTATATTTTGGTAATTAAAGGATCTAATTTAGGCCTTATTGATACTCACCAAAGATGGGTTTTATATGAAATTCGGACTGCTCACCTAGGGAAATCGCCGCACATGTGGGGGTTATGGCCGCACGTGCGGGAATAACTGCCGCACGTGCGGGAGGATTTTGCCGCACGTGCGGGAAAGTTTGCCGCACGTGCGGGGCTCACAGCCGCACGTGCGGCCCATGCTGGGAAAAATAGTTTGCTCCGTTTTACGTGCTGGACCCTCAGATATTTTTAGAATTTGTATTTTATGCCTACTAATATGTGTAAAATTCATTTGAAGTGAAATGAATTAAGAAGTGATTTAACAAAGAGGAATGAACTAATTTACAAGTTGTGAATGTGTGTAGGACACACTCCGGGAGGAACTAGCACGTCATCATAATGCTGTGAGTAATAGTACTGTAATCGCACATTTGATTACCGTTAATAATTCTTTTTATTAACGCTTTGCTCTTCACAAGTAGTTATGTTAGCCTTATGTTGATTGGGAATCGGTGTGAACATTGAAAGATTTTGGCGTATATCGGTACGGCTCTGAACCTACTCTGTATTCCGGATAAGATTAATGATTATCATTAATGTACCAACTTATAAATGCACCTACTTGTAAATTACCCGTGATTCCGTATAAGAATTGCATACAACCATTAACACTATGAAGTTGGTTAATAGAAAGAAATTGAGCGTCAATAACATTGTTACGTGGCTCATGTAATGGTACCTTTATCTCCGGATTATCGTTACTATAACGTTCTGTTAATTGCAAGACAAGTATGTCGATTTACAATGAACCGTGAGGAAATCTAAACGTGTCCTTGGGCCATACGTTGTTTACTATTGATCGTTAAGGTTAACATTCTGTTATCTGCTAACTCGCAATATTGAGTCATGACAAGCAAATGGAATGTATGCGCATTATGAAATTAAGGTATTATGTATCTCCGAATTATTATTAACGCTCTGTTTAACGCAAATTAGCTATGTTAACTCATGTGAATGATTGGAAGATCTGTGTGCCTCTGTATACCCTGGGACTAATAATATATGTGCTTTATGTTAATGTTCTGATATACATAAGACGATTATGTTAACCTGCAATAAACCATGAGGTTATTCCGCTCTGTTTATTCGTCCCATTCATACTGTGATATGATATGAATTGTTCGGTCTTAAAGACCTAATATTTTCTGGTATAGAACAAAGTGCTGTACGGAACTAAGTGCTGCAATGTGAGCCACCTCTAGAATCCGTACGAGCCACCTCTTGAGTCCATACATATGTGAATTGGGCTTAAAGCCGATGTGAAAGTTATGAGGCCTATGGCCGTTCTGTAACATCTGTGAGGCCTATGGCCAATTTATGACATCTGGGCCTATGGCCATTCTGTATGATCTGTAATATGAAACAAAGTGCTACGCGGAACTAAGTGCTACGATGTGAGCCACCTCTAGAGTCCGTGTGAGACACCTCTTGAGTTCATACAAGCATGTTAAAGGGCTTTATGCTGTTCTGTTAAGGGCTTCTTGCCGTTCTGACAAGGGCTTTATGCCAATACAAGGGCTTTATGCCATTACAAGGGCTTTATGTCATTCTGATAAGGGCTTCATGCTATTTTGTTAAGGATTTCATGCCATTCTGTTAAGGGCTGAAAGCTACTCTATTTAAGATGGGGCCCAAGGCCGTTCTGTAAAAGATACTTTTGTATAAATGATTTTGAAAATGACTATGCTATACAATGTTTAATGAAATCCATATTTTGGGTTACGAAATGTTTAATATGATAAGTATTTTATGAAATGATAAAAATGCTATGAACTTCCGGCATGTTTATGTTATGATATGTTTTCTGGATAATTTTCCCAAAATGCCTAGATACGCTACGAAACTCCGAATGTTCAAGATATGACAAGTTTTCTGAAAAAGATACTCTGCTATGCATACAGAAACAAATTAACCATATGTTCTCTTTATTGATAAATGCTCGGATATGTATTATAATTCATGTTGAACATTGAATTGTTATGTGCAATTATTCACTGAGCTTGGCTCACTTTATTTTATGTCTGTTTTTGTAGGCACTCAACCTGGAGGTCAACCTTAACATGTGGCTTCCGTTACCCAGTTGTCAATCCCTGAGTATCTAAACTCTTAGATGTTGACCGTTCAAGTTATGGAGTTTTGCTAAGTTTTTAAGTTGTACCCTAAAAGTCTGTTACGATTGATGTGTATGTAATCCGTTTAGTTTCTCATGTTTTCGTTGTACGCCCGACCTTGAGGGCTGGGTCTGTATGTGTATATGTACATGGCTATCTTCAAATGCACGTCACGTCACTGTATATTTATCTGCATTATGTTCTGTTTGTGATCCTGGCATAGTAGTGGTAGCTTAATGGATATTATTTTACGTTATTATATGTTATTAAATGCTTCCGTTCAGGCCCCATAGGTTATATTCATCAGGTTTTTGTGTCTGTTTCTGAGGTGGTCATGCCCAAACTTTTAGGGGCGAGTTTGGGGTGTGACAGTAACCGTCGAAATGGTTGATAATTGCTGAAGTAAATGATAACCGTCGAAGCAACCTCCACGATCATGGGACATGGTTTCAAGCATTTCGCCTCCACTAAACCATTTCTTGCAGTTGGGTTTCCCTCATGAATTTGAATTTAAATCTTCAAGAACCGTTTAGCCACGTCATCTTGCTTTTTTTGATTGTTCCAGTACTTCACAGATCCATTGCTATTGATGTAATTTTGCCACGTGTCCTCTGATGATTGGAGACATTTACTAATTCTTCAAGTTACCCTTGACGGACCATGTGTCAGGCTGTGATTGGTTGATACAAAAATATATAGCCAACATTACCCCCGCACTATTATAAACAACACTTGGTATTATTAGTGGATCGATGCACTACTGCCCATGTTCTAGGACGTGCATGGTAATTAATTGTTCTGGAAGTATAACCATCTTCAAGTGATGTTTAAAACACTGAACTTCCCCTTGTGCTTGAACCTTACTTCCATTTTATATGCAAACGAAGAGACTTGATACATCCTTGATGGCCAATCAAACCTTTTCCTTCATTAATCAAGTATATGAAGAGGTTTTGGACAATGATGGCCGACCTTGGAAGAATTTTCATGCATTTATTAGCCATACTTATTCTCCTCCATTTATACAAGTTGTGGAGGCTTTTGCAGAATATACACCTTTAGAACAACAACTTACTCATATGGACCTCGAAGGCTCTTCATCTGCTCCAAAGGTCTCTGCTTGGGATGACATTGCCTCCTCCTATACCAAAACTACTGGTTGGAATGCTTGGCCAAAACCAACTCAACCTCAGACAAAGGGGCGAATTCACCATAGATTTGTTGAATAGGATGAACCTATTTTCGTTCTTCCTTCTTTTCGCAGTTTAGTGGTATACCCTTATATACTATTTGACCACCTCTGCTGGCTCGAAGACAATTTTCTTTCGGCATGGTATACCTCCACTTTGCTAACCAAAATAGTGTGGAAGACTCCCCACCCAATCAAAGCTCTAGGACTGAGTCCCTCACACTTGGCCAAGAAGGCAAAACTCTGCATTTCTGACTAGCTAGAGTGTGTGAATGAGCCCCAGTTTCCTTCTACCTTTGGAGTGGACCCAGCTACACCTCCTCTTCCTCATAATCCTAACTGGATTGAGGAATTGAAGCTCACCCTTTTCAAGGACTGACATTTTGCCCCTATCAAGCCCTAGTTCTTCCCACTGGCTACCAGTAGTACAAAGCCCAAACTTTGCTTGCTACCTTCTCCCACCTATCCTTCGAAGTTCTTCGAGATGACACCCCTCACAAGAACCTTTTATGGGCTTGTGATATAGTCTCTCAAAGCCATACTCTCAACCCAGTGGCCTAGACAGAACTCTATGCCTTCTTGGACCAACTCTTTTTCTTGCTCAACTGGCATAAAAATGCCTTGGCCACCAGTGAATTGTTGGAAAAGATCTCTGCCACTCGTATTTAAACCCAATACAAAGTAGAGAATCTTCTTAAAGAATATGAAGACTTCAAGAACCATGATTCAGTATATGAAGAGGATTCTGATATGGATGGGATGGATGAGGTGGAAAAGGCGTTGAAGCAAACAGAATTTGAGATGAAGGCCCAACAACTTTTTCACCAAATAAGGGCGCACTAGCTAGAGAGGCCCTAATTAGATAGGATAGAGGAAAGGTTAGAGAGAGAACATGTATTCATTGAGTTTTGCTGGACTAAGTTCCATAACCTCGTAACCTTTTCCATTCCTTATTTTTATGAAACTGATAATGTAACCAAATAGGCCCCTCAATATAATCATTTATTTATTCAATAAAATATGGGTTTCTTACTTTCAATTGCATAGTTTGTATTTGTCAATATGCATGACCTCAAACTCGTTCACATACTAGCAAATACTAGTTTCGAAGTAACCCATTTATCTCAAAGCATTGTCAAGTGTTTCGAGACACAATTTCCTTTCTCAAAAAGTAGTAGAGTATTCCTTTGAAGGGAATTTTCCTAGTAAGAAGTCAAAAATGTGCTTCCAAAACTTTTGAAATTAAAATATGGGTTTTTCTTTACTAATTTCATGGTTTGTATATGCTAATATGCAAGCCTTTAATCTCAAAATTCATTAACATATTAGAAAATATTGGCTTTAAAGTAACCCATTCATTTTGAAGCCAAATCAAGCACTTCGAAGCACACTTTCCTTCATCAAAAGGTAGTAAAATATTCATTTGAAGGAAATTCTTGGTAGAAAGTCTAAAAATGTGCTTTCAAAACCTTTGAAATTAAAATATGGGTTTCTCTTTGCCAATTTCATGGTTTGTATTTTGTTAATATGCAGGTCTTTAATTTCAAAACTCATTAATATATTAGCAAATACTGGCTTCAAAGTAACCAATTCATTTTGGAGCCAAGTCAAGCACTTCGAAGCACACTTTTCTTTCTCAAAAGGTAGTACAATATTCCTTCGAAGGAAATTTTCTTGGTGGAAAGCCCAAGAATGTGCTTTTAGGACTTTTGAAATTAAAATAAAGGCCCTAACCCCACATGGGTCAAATGAAACTTAAATAGCTTGAACCTACTTGACTCGTTAGGTTAAATGGGCAACTTAGACAAGAAGGTATAAAACCCTAATTCTTGCGCTCTTACCTACTCATGTGTCTATTTCTAACTCTTATTGTCACTCTTACTTGCCTTTGTACTTACTTTAGCTCTTACTCCTCCTACCCTTGTTCCTGCTTTTTCAATCCTTCCTTCAACTCTCACCAATGGTTGCTTCTTCCTCTACAAACCTACCAATCGTCGAACGTCTTCGTCCCTCGGTGGCCCTGAGGAGATGCATAAACGAAGAGATAGCCAAATATAATGAATCAGAAGGTTACAGTGCAATCGATGGAGGGACTTCATCTCTGGCCATCATGCAAAAGGGGAGTATATCCTTGGCCCTATTTTCAAGGCTCCCATGCACTTCCCCCTTTGTACCCATGCTTGGATGATCATTACTTTCTTTACAAAAGAAAATTCAACTGGGTGGGCTGGAGGGCCACTCAACCTCATCGTTGCTGGCCCACATTGAAGACAGAACGGAAGGAATGGTATGATAGAGTCGTTGAAGCCAGAGAATACGATTTAGAGGACCTCTGTATCCTTGATTCCCTTCGACTTTCCAGGTTTATAATTTATGAGGATCTCTTTCTTATCCTTGCTGCTCTTTGCTTTTGGAATCCTGCTTTTAATTTTTTTCAATTTTGGTGTGGTATGATGGCCCCCACCATTCTTGATATGTGCCATCTTCTAGGGCTCTCACCCATTGTTAACCCCTTTAGTCTTGCATACCCAGACCTTGTAGTTTCCTTCTCTACTCATGCTTCGAATCTTTCTTACAGTATGTTCATTGAAGCTAAAAATAACAAGGAAGGTCCTGTGACCGGCCGAGAATTCTATTCTTTTATTCTTTATTGGCTTTGAAAATTTATTTTTTATACTTCATCCTAAAAAATAATGCCTGAGTTCATTTCTCTTGCCAAGGCTCTGGTTTCGAAGAAGAGGATAGCCTTGGCTCCTTATGTTCTAGGCCATGTATATAGGGTTTGTTCCCAGCTTTGTGAAAGACATCTAGAATCCAACCAAGGAGGCCCTATTTGGGTTTCCCAACTATGGCTTTTTTCTTATGTGAGTTCAAATTTCTTTTTTAGGATGAAGCTGAAAATAACAAGGAAGGTCCTATGACCGATCGAGAATTCTTTTCTATTATTCTTTATTGGCTTTGCAAATTTCTTTTTTATACTTCATCCTAAAAAATAATGCCTGAGTTCATTTCTCTTGCCAAGGCTCTGGTTTCGAAGAAGAGGATAGCCTTCGCTCCTTATGTTCTAGGCCATGTATATAGGGTTTGTTCCCAGTTTTGTGAAAGACATCTAAAATCCAACTTTGGCTTTTTGCTTACTTTACTGACTTCCATTCCAGTCGCTTAAAATTTCTGGTGCAAGAGCCCACCACCTACAGAGAGAAGTATGCCAGAGTCTTTTTGTATTCTTCCAATTTTGTCAATTATTTTTCTTATTTCCATCACCTGCCAGCCTTCATTCGTTTTTCATTCTTTTTCCCTTTCGATGCTAATGTGGGGCCAACATGGTTGAGGGCTTTTTTGGATGATGTGACCTGGTCTAGGCCTGTCCACAAGGAAATGTGGGATCCTATCTTGATTCCAAGGGAGCTCTTCATTGGTACTCTCAACCCCAAGGCCTACAAGTGTATTACCAAGGCTTACTGTCCTGCCCAATTTGCAAGGCAGCTTGGGCTTACTCAGGAGATTCCAATCCCTCTCAGTAGCCACTCCAACTCGGATCTTGATGCTAGAAACTTGGAGGTGCCAAAATCCATGCTAGATGAAGCAATAACCAAGTTTTCAAAGGACTTTTCTAGCTTCGAATTCGTGCCCTTCACTGGCCATAATAAGGTTATGAAAAGATTTCAGAACTGGTAGAAAGCCAACATGGAAGTGTAGCCTGATACCCGCACCTTGGATTTATTAAAAGAGTTGGATGTGCTATCCCAGGGTGGGCAAGCCAAAACTAGGGAGGTTGACATCACCATTGTTTCCACCCCTGTTGTTTCAACCTCTTTACTCAGAATTACTAGGGCTGCCACCAAGAAGGGTACATGCTTTATTTCTTCC